CGCACGCACTCTCTCTCTCTCTCTCTCTCTCTCTCTCTCACACACACACACACACACACACACACACACACACACACACACACACTCGCACGTTCTCCTGTATTGACCTGCTGGAAACTGGGTCCAGCGCCCCATGAACATCGTGAATAAAGCACCAACTGGGACCCCACACACACACTCTTGGAGTTGTGTATAGCGAACATGACAAAACATACATACACAATCGCTTGCTGGATTTCGAAAAGAGAAAAGTCTTGTATTCTAGGCTACCAGCCGGGCCGCCCGGGTCCCGGGTGGCCAGCCCGTGCAAGGACCAGGGAAGGTCCCAGCACAAAAGGAAAAAAGAAAAAAAAAAACCTAAAAATCCAAAAAAAAACTATGTTATGCAGAAAAATAAACGGAACAACTTTTGCCTCAGGATCACATCGAAAGTCTTCACCAAATTGAGAATTTTTTTTATTTTTTTTTTTTTTTTTTTTGGCCCGGCCGGGCAAGTGAAGCCGGGCCACTCTGGTAGCCTAGCTTGTATTCCAATAAAATTACTTCTTTTTTCTTTTTGGTGGTCAGCGCCTACCCTTGTGCTCCCCACCACTGACATGCTGCGTGCTGCAGCTCTCTCTCTCTCTTACACACACTCAAACACACACACACACACACACACACACACTCACGTACGCAATGCACACACATTCTCCTGTCTATTGATGTGGAGCGCCACCTGCTGGAAATTGGGTCCAGCATCCCATGAACATCGTGAATAAAGCACCAACCTGGACCCCACACACACACTTTTTCGAGTCGTGTATAGCGAACATAACAAAACATACATACAGCATAATCACTACCTGACCCTTCCTGAACCACATCAACAAGAAAACTATGGGCTGCACACCCGTGCCCTCACGGTAAGTCAATCAGGATTCCTTTTTTTTTTGAGAAAGCCCCCACCAGTGTTAGTGGTGCTGATAAGAGCAGACACCACTAGCACCTGGGGGGAGGCTCCATCTATTGGTGGGGAGCATCACCTGCCGGGAACCGGGCCCAGCGTCCCTTATACAATTTAAACTGGAATATGTCAGAAAGATACAATTGTGAAAGTTTTCCTGCCAGCATTGATTACCCTGGTGTCCAGGGGATTGACTGAGCAGGACGCGGGGGAGGGGGGACCTCTTCACCTTAGAACCGGCGCCAGATACCTACTACTGCACACTAGTCCCTCCCTCCGTCGACCCGCGCAATCTCCTGTGCTGCTGGAAACCGGGTCCAGCGTCCCTGAACTGAAACTGAACTGCACTTTTCCAGGAGAGTAACTAAAAGGACATCTGCTCCCGCACTGCTCACTCTGCTCCGTACCATTGCATGTCAACCATGGCCAGCTGGTGGGGCGGGAAAGGGTCGGGGAAGTCAGTGGGCGGTCGCAGTGGGACCTCCTGTCCCACCGTGGTCCAATCTCT